ACTGAATTGCCACAAACTGGCTCCATACCCCCAAAAAAGAGGGAAGGAAGGAAAGGGGCTGGTGGAGAGAGAAAAGAAAGAAAGGAAAGAATAAGAAAGACTGGTTATTCCAAACAGTCCTCATGCCGCTTAGTGTCACTCCAAACTGTCTCTAGACCTTTAATACTTCTATAAGAAAAAAATCCCAGGGCTCCTAAGTGGCTCGGTCGTTTAAGCATCTGATTTAGGCTTAGGTCAAGATCTCAGGGTCCGAGGATGGAGCTGTGCCTCGAGGTTGGGCGGGGGTCACTGCTGTGCGGGGAGGGGCGGGGGTGGGCGGTGAGGATGGGAGGGTGCGTCTCTGCACTCACCTGGGAGTCAGCTTGTCCCTTCCCTCTTCTACTCCGCCCCACCGTGCTCTCAATCTCAAATAAGTAAATAGAAAAAGATACAAATGCAATGCCTCAGTTGGCATTTCCATTTAGGTCTTGATCTCAGAGTCCTAATCTCAATCAAGGTCGTGGGATTGAGCCCTCCCCCGCCCCTCCCGCCCCCCCCCCCACCCGCCTCTGCCCCAGTTGGATTCTGCCATTAGCACTGAAGCTGCTTGTGTTTCTCTTGCCCTCTCGCTCTGCCCCTCCCGAACTCTGCACTTACTCTCTTGCGCGCTCTTTTTCTCTCTCTCCCTCACTCCCTCTAAAGTAAATAAATAAACCTTAAAAAAAAAAAAAAAGTGACAGGGACAAATTGTTCTAAATCTACAAAAATTTTGGTGGAAAACTCAGTGGAAGACCAAAGCCCATTTTATGTCTTATTATCATAATCCAGAAAAATTCTAAGGGTAGAGCAAGACCTGAAACCCATCATGCCTCAAGGCATTTAAGCATCTTTATATGAATTTCATTCAGTTACCTCAAAACTTCAAATATGTTTAATAACCGTTTGTAAATTTTTCGGTTGGCTCAAGATTTTCCCTTGATAAAAGGCAAATGCTTTAATAGCCACAAAACAGCTATATATTTTGGTTTTCCCGCTAAGAAATACTTTCTTTTCTTTTTTTTTAAAGATTTATTTTATTTTATTTATTTATTTGACAGAGATCACAAGTAGGGAGAGAGGCAGGCAGAGAGAATGGGGAAAGCAGAGAGCCCGATGTGGGGCTCGATCCCAGGACACTGAGATCATGACCTGAGCTGAAGGCAGAGGCTTAACCCACTGAGCCACCCAGGTGCCCCAGAAATACTTTCAATGTACTCTTTGGATAAACAAAAGCACTACGAGTCAAACACTTTAAGAACTATAAATTACACCTGGTATTCCTATTAGACAGAAATGTCATTGTCCAAACCATCCCCAAATTCTGCTACGTTGAGCAGTCCTGTTGAATATAGCTAGGTAACTAACTCACATACACATACTCCTGACAGATGTCAAACTATATTCCCAACAAGGACACCACTAGATATATCCCTCAGTCATATATACCCAAGAGAGTGAATATATTAAGAGACATAAATGAAAATCAGCCTTAAAACTGTACCAGAAGGGGGGCGCCTGGGTGGCTCAGTGAGTTAAGCCTCTGCCTTCAGCTCAGGTCATGATCTCAGGGTCCTGGGACCCCACATCAGGCTCTCTGCTCGGCAGGGAGCCTGCTTCCCCCTCTCTCTGCCTGCTGCTCTGCCTACTTGTGATCTCTCTCTGTCAAATAAATAAATAAATAAACCTTTAAAAAAAAAAAAAAAAACAACTGTACCAAAGGGACAATTTCAGGTAGTATTAACTCCAAAGGAAAAAAAAAATTTTTTTTTTTTTTTTTTTTTTTTTTTTTTTGAGAAAGAGAGAGAGAGAGATTGAGAAAGCACAAGCAGGGTAGGGAGGAACCAAGGGAGAGGAAGAGAGAGACTTCCAAGCAGGCTCCATGCCTAGCGCAGAGTGGGACATGGGGCTGATCCCAGGACACTGAGATATGACCCAAGCCATAATCAAGAGTCAGACGCTTAACCAACTGAGACACCCCCCAAATTATTCTTAAACTCTAGAACATACACATATAAAGTTATATATAAAAAGTCTGCCTTCCAGTCCTTACTCACCTCTGTCCCTTGAAGATAACCATTCTGTTTCTTTGAGCAGATATAAGCAAATAACATTATTTGTCTATATTTTTATGCAGAAGGCAGGAAACTAATATGTAATGCTCTCCACCAACTTGCCTTTTTTTTTTTTTAAACTAAATACTATGTTCATGCAAGTATATTGAAAGGATGAACTTCCAGCAGTGGAATTTCTGGGCTAAAAAAATATTAAATCTTTAAAAGTATTTTTTATAGTTTGTTGATTCTCTCTAATGTTCAAACAGCAAATATATAATTAACAAGGTATTTATATTTTTTATACTATTGAATACCTTGAGCCAGATTCTTCTGAAAACTTTAGTCAGTCATTCACTGTTCCCTAAGTTCTTTTTAAATTAACACATAGTATACTATTAGTTTCAGAGGTAGAGAATTCAGTGATTCATCAGTCTTATCTAATACCCAGTGCTCATTATATCACATGCCGTCCTCAATGTCTATCACCCAATGACCCATCCCCACCCACACCCCCCTCCTCTCCAGGGACCCTCAGTTTGTTTCCTATGATTAAGAGTAAAGGTATATATTTTTGCATTACTGACTAATGTATCTCATATGTAAGAGCTGTATCAATTTACACCTCACCTGCAATGTATTCCCCATAATCTTGCTGTTATCAAACTTTCTGATTTTTAAGAATTTGAATGGTGGTAAATGGTATCTGAGCGGATTTCTTCTTTTGGAGATGAGAACCGGGAAAGCATATTAGCAGGCTGTAGAAAGCAAGCTTGTATCTGCAGGGGAGACAGAGGGGAGGTCATTGCCAGAAGAGTCCTTTACCAGGCTGGAGGAGCAGAAGCCACTGCGGCAGTGAGTCATTTAATAGGTACGGATGCAGGAGGTTGTTGGTAGGTTTTGAGGGTGGACACAAGTGCAAGTCTCTCTTTTGATTGCTTCTGATTGTTTTGTTTGTTTTGAGGCATCTTCAGCTCCTGACTGCTTGTGTTTTTCAGGCAAAATAAGAACCAAGGTCATAAATTGAACCAGGAGAGGGGAGAGAGCATTGAGGATTTGAGAAAAGAGATGTGAATTGCTCCCTTCAGTGAATGGGAGGGTAACCTGCCCAGGGAAACAAGGATCCTTGGGTAGCCCTGAGGATTACAGCCTTCAATTTAAAGTGAAAAAAAAAAAAAAAAAAAAAAAGTTTTTTTTTGTTAAAATTTTATTTATTTATTTATTTGAGAGAGAGAAAGAGAGAGAGAGTGGGAGAGCAAACCAGGGGGAGCTGCAGAGGGAGAGAGAGAAGTAAGCAGAGGGAGAGGGAGAAGCAGGCTCCCTGCTAAGCAGGAAGCCCAGGAGGGTGGATCCCAGGATCCTGGGATCACGACCTGAGCCAAAGGTAAACGTTTTAACCAAATGAGCCACCCAGGTGCCCTCAAAGTGAATTTTGAAGGACAAAGCACCACTAGGGATGAAGAAGATCCTTGCTTCAGGGAGATGTCAGAAAAACAGAATTAAAAGCAAATGCATTCATTTAACAGGTATTAATGGGGAATCTGCCTTACAGAAGCTCTGTTGCTGGGTTCTGGCTTGTCACCTAGGGCAGATTACAAGCATCCTCCAGCTGGCTGCCTGTTCAACACACAAATCTGATTAAGTTAAGATGATTCACTCTGCAAACAAAACCACAAAAAGTCACCATAAGGTCTCCATAGGATGAATTGTTCTTAAATTTGGGGAGCGAAGTTCTCACTCTTGATAGCCTGAACCAACAGCTTCTTAGGAAAATGGGCACATATACCAATTTCCAGACAATTTGCAGGACCACAAGTTGAGGATCTCTCCCTCAAATTAGGAGCCCTATTTTAGAGTGTATTGTTTTAGGGTTATTTTGGATGATTCAGTTTGTACAAAGCTTTCTATGAATTACTTTATGGCTGTGTATTGGACACTTAATAAGGACTCAATCTGAAATCATTTTAGATTTTTTTAAAAGTTGCAAAAGTAACATGGACTTCTATATTCTTCACCCTGAATAGTCGAAGGTTAACATCTTACATAACCATAGTACAATTATCAATACTGCTGATACACTATTTTTGTTAATAAACCTTATTTCATCAGTTGTCCCGTTCATGTCCTTTTTCCGTTCCAGGATCCAATTCAGAAATTCACCAGCGTTGTCAGGGTCCTGGCTTTTTTTCTTTTTTTTAATGCAAGTCTGTGTGTTTTGGGGCAAAATACTTAACGTCTCTGAGTCTGTCTTGTTTTAAGGGCCGCGATGTGATTAAGAAGCAATAAGAAACACAAGTGGAATGGTTTCAGAAATGTCAAAGATAACTAAACAAACTTTTCTTAGTATTATAAACTAGGTACGCACAGGATAACTTTTCGTTTAAATTAAAACAAAACCGATTGAAGAGTACTACCGACGTCGAGGTGTTTTGTCCCAAAGAAGGACCCGTAGCGTTTCCCTCAGCCCCGGAGGAGGCCTTCCCTAATTGGGCAGCGTGCGTCTGCCCGACCACAGGAAGGCCGCCTCATTGGTTCGCGCAGTCGGGACTCCGGCGGCTTTTCTCTTAGAGCTCACGGCGCTGACCCACTTCTCTTCCTCCAACCCAGCGCTTCCTTCCTTCCGAAGTGTCCAGAGCTGCTGGCCCGAAAGGATCCGGACTGAGCTAGGCGGGGTAACTGCACTGAGGTCAGTCGGCAAGAAACGGCGGACATGGAACACGGGTGGGAGGTGATGTCTGCGCGCCCCTCGACCCCCACGGCCGCCTCGATTCCATGCCCTGCCCCCTCCTCTGGTCCCACCTCCATTAGGTTCTCCCAAAAGTTCCGCGCACCCCTCTGCCGCCCTTCCGTTGGCCCCACCCTCACCGCCCCCTGCGACCCCGCCTCCTCCACCAGCCCTTCCGCTTTTCTCAGCCCCACCCCCGATTCCTCCCCTCAGGGGCCCCGCCCCCTCCGCCGGCCCCGCCTTCTCCGGGAGCCTCTCCACGGGCCCTGCCCTAGCCGCGTCCTCTTCAAAGGCCCCGCCCTCACCGAGCGCACCCCTGGCGCGTCTCTCCGCCCATCCTGTCCCGACCGCTCCTCGTCACTTTAAATTTGGTTCTGGGCCCCCGCGGCTCCTCTTCACCCCCAGACCCCCGTATATGCACGTTTCTTTCCATCAGCCCTGCCTTCTGTGCACATTCCCTGACTACTGGGGTCTCTCGTTCCCGCGCCGACCCGGACTGCGTCCGTCTGTGCTTAGTGAATGGTGCGGAGACCTTGCGCTGGACTTTGGACATCCTTGCTTTCAGGAACCCCTGGGAGAGCCACACTGCAACGGAGTTTGACAGGCCCTTCCTTCCTTTAATGAAGGAAGCATGTTTGCGATGCTTAGAGGAGGGACTCAAGTTGTCACCGTTACTTCTGGAAGGGCAAGCTGGCCTCTGAGGAGCTAAGCAGTACCTTTCTCCCCAGGTGCCCTTGGCATCTTCTGATGCAGAGTCTTGGCTCCAGCCATTGCCTTTTGAACTCCTGGGAATTAGTAGGATCTTGTCAGGGCCCTTCTTTTAACCAAAGTTGGTAGGGCTTTCAGAGCCCATCCATCCACATGGTCACTGAGCTCTTCAAGGAAGTTGAAGGCAAGGGACAGATGAGTGATTGACCTAGACCAACAGTGACTCAGCGTCATACTCTTGATGCTGCTCTTTGGAATTTTTCCTGAGGATTCTGACCCAGTTTACAATTACCCAGCAGTCGTAGTCGATTAGGAAATCCTAAAAGTATGTGTAGGTGAAACCTCTAGTCGGTAAGTAGATTCCTCCAAGCCAACACGCTGGTACAAGCTATGGTACACGGAAGACAGTGACTGATATCCTCAGTCTGGTGGAGTCGGGTACCCTGGGGTCTGATCCCAGCTCCACCATTTGCTGGTTCTTGGCAAAGAACCTTCCCTTATCTGAGCTTCAGTTTTACCTTCTGCACAAAGAGCGTGATTGACCTGGTCACCCATGGCATGGATGGCATGCTTATGAAAAAAAATCAGTTTTCGGGTCTTAAAAATAGTAGGATCTTAGCATAAGTGAGTCCCTAGCCCATTGTCTGTCTGGTTCACACCATCAAAGAGCCTGATACATTGCCTCCTTCAGGCACCATGACGACCCTGGACGATAAGTTGCTGGGGGAGAAGCTGCAGTACTATTACAGCAGCAGTGATGATGAGGACAGCGACCGCGAGGACAAGGATGGAGGCAGGGGTGCGCTGGCCGGCACATCGATGCCTGCAGATGCTGAGTTGGCAGGCGAAGGCATCTCCGTTAACACAGGTACTGGACATCCCTTAGCTCTGGGATCAGGTTTAACAAATGTCCGTGAAATATGTATTTCCTGATCACTTCTCTCTAATTCCAGTCTCACTCCTAGTCTTCGTGTCATCATGTCCCTGCGCGTGCTTCTAGCCATTTCATTGCACAGTGCACACGTGCGTGCACACCATACACAGACCGTGAACACACACAGTGAACACAGACTGACTTGCATTTGAATCCGGCTTCTCAAATTCATAGTTGTTTGATATCACAGAAGTCATAGGTATCCATACTATATGGTGGTATAGAGTCCTAGAAATGGCATATTTACACTTTTACATTTTGATATTTCCAAATTGTGGCCATTAAAGTGGCGCTGTTTTATATGTAATCAGCAGTGTGGTTTTCCCCATACACTTGCCCTCCTGCTGTGTTAACAGAATCTGGGATCTCTGCCTCCTGCTGGATGACGTGGTAACTCATTGTAGTTTTATTTTCTATCTTTTTCAAGAGGGATGTTGAGCCTCTTTAAGAGATATTTTCCTATCCTTTACACGTTTTTAAAATTTGGTGGTTGGTCTTTTTTTTTTAGGGAGCTATATAGTAAGGAAGCTCATCTGTGGTATGCGCTGTAACTATTTCTCCCAATTTGTTGTTTGTCTTTTGATTTTATGTCCTTTTCCTGGCAGAAAACATTTTTTTTTTTTAATGTGCCTGAAAGCATTATTTTATACTTTCTTACTTTTGTTTCTTACCGAAAAGTTCTTTACTCCGGGATTATAAGAAGATTCTCCCATGCTTTTTCTTAGTACGTTCATGATTTCTTTCTTTCTTTCTTTCTTTCACTTGAATATTGATTCATCTGGAATTCATTTTGGTGCAAGGAATGTGGTAGGGCCCTCTTTTTGTCTTCATATTGCCACCCAGTGGTTTCAACACCATTTAGTGAATAAATCATCTTTTTTCTGTTGCTTTGAAATGTCAGTTTTATCATGTACTGAATTCCTCCCTGTAGTTGTGTCTTTACCTGCACTTCGTAGTCTCTTGTGTTGACTTGTCTTTCACTGTGCTGTATCACACTGTTTTTCATTACTGTGTGACAGGTTTCAGTATCTAGTGGGGCTGGTTCCACCTCAGTACTCTTCTTTGTCATCATTGTCCCAGCCTTTTTTTTTTTTTTTTTTAAGTAGGCTCTATACCCAGCGTGGGGCTTGAACTCACAACCCCAAGGTCAAGAGGCACATGCTCTACTGACTCAGCCAGCCAGGTGCCCCTTAACTTTTGCTTTCTTATTTTTCCAAAACAAATTTAGGAGCATGCACACATGGGAATGCATTAAGAATATAGATTAATTTAGGGTTAATTGGCGCCCTTGTGATGTTGGGTCTTCCTGGTCAGGAATATGGTATCGCTTTTCCATCCTTCTTTGTGTTTCTTGGTAGAACTTTAAAGTTTTCTTCATAGAGATTTTTAGATTTTTTTCCTGTGGTAACAGAGGTCCTCCAGACCTCAGTGGCTTGTGATAGTGAAGGTGTGTTTCTCAAATGTGTTATAAGCTACTGGTGTGGGTCAGCAGCAGCCCTGCCCTTGCTTCATTTATCCGCCGCAGGGTTGAAGGAGCAACCCTGGACCGGGACGTGCCTTTTCATGACCAAGTCTAGCGAGCAAGAGAGGACTGTTGAAAACATGTAACAGCTCATAAATATTCTGCTTAGGATTCATTGGCCAAAGCAAGTCACATGGCCAAGGCCAACATCAGTGAGCAGGAAATGCATATACTCATCCCCTAAGAGGTCCTATGGATCACATGGCAGGAGGCAGGGAGGCTTGGGGGTAACCTGACTAACAGAATAACCTGCCACAGTCTTGTTATAAAAATCTGGATAATGATACAGAATGTATGAATGTAGAAAGAAAAAAGTAGTGGTTCTGTCCCACTAGTCCCCTTGGATCCCCCTTCCTAGAGACAGCCTCTGTTAACTGTTGCCATTTCCTTCTAGTTCTTTTTCTGTGAACATACAAAGGTATGTGTGCATAAATAAATGTCCATACATATGTACACACACACACATAATTCCTTTTCTAAAAAGTGGACGATCCTACCATGATATTGTTCTGCATTTTGCTCTCCTTTTTTTTGGACCTAATATATTTGAGCATCTTCCATGGCAAGGAACATGGAGCTACCTCACTCTTTCTACGAGTTACCTTAGTTTCCTCTGAGTAGCTAAATCATGATTTATTTAGTGCCCCTCCTGATGTTGGGGCCCTAGCTCGTCCATTTAATCAGAGCAAGCCACGCTGCCCTGTGTGCATGCCACCGTGCCCCCGATGGAGCAGGCTCCGGCCGCATGTGAGCAGGCCCGTAGTCCTCTGGCCACTCTTGTCAGTCACCTCCGCATTCACCCCCCACTCAGGTCCAAAAGGGGTGATAAATGACTGGCGCCGCTTCAAACAGTTGGAGACAGAGCAGAGGGAGGAGCAGTGCCGGGAGATGGAAAGGCTGGTCAAGAAGCTGTCGATGACCTGCAGGTCCCATCTGGATGAAGAGGAGGAGCGGCACAAGCAGGAGGCACTGCAGGAGAAGCTCGGTGCGAAGGTAATTAGCAGCCCCCCCCCCCCCCCCCCCCCGGCCTTTCTCAGGGCGGCCACTGGCGCGCCGTGGGGATGCATCTTCCTTCTGAGTCCGGCTTGTCGTGGGTTAGGTGAGGTCAGCGTCTCTACCTCACAGTGCTCTCGGAGTACAAAGCCCAGTGCAGAGCCTGGCCCATTAACAGTGCTCAGTAAATGGGAGTTTTCTGTCCTTTATTGAGGCCTTACCTTGGGCCAGGAATAACCCTCTGAGGTCGGTGGCATTACCCTGTTTTACCGATGATGCATCCGTTAGTTCGAGGTGAGGGGGGCCTTGGCTCAGGGTGTGCAACCAGTAAGTGCTGATGGGAAGTAGGATCTCCAGCCAGATTTTTTTGCTCTTTTTGTGATGCTGCTCTGTTTCACCAGAAGCCTGTTCATGAGAATTTAGTGGAATAAGGCCACACAGTAGAAGCAAATGGATACTCTGGAAGATATTTGGGACTAGGTCCCTGACTCTCTCATTTTCCCCTGTATCAAAAGGACCATCTAGACCCCCCACCTGCTCTCTGAAGATGAATGAATGTCTAGGAGTGCCCGAGATCATTTGGCTATGGCCAGACAGCTCTTGGCTGGAAATTACTGGCCAGGATCAGGGAGCACATAAGGGGATTGAGAGAGGAATCATTTTCGTGGAGCAGGAGAAGGATTTGGGGGCATGAGACTTTCTGACCATAACAGCTCAGAAACAGCTCTTTCTTAGCAGTTACGGTCAGAAAGAGCCACTCTGGCAGGCCCGGATAGACTGGAGAGTTGGGAGCTGGGGGGAAGGATGGTGCTGGCCGTGATGCAGAAATGTCCATTCTGATCTGCTGTTGTCCCCTGGCCCACCCTCTATTCCGTGCCATACTAGGCAGAGCGAGGCACAAGGATGTCTTGTTGCACCAGGCTAGGAGCAGGAAGATACTTTCGTAACATAAGCCGGCTTCAGGGCAGTGTGCCCGCAGCTCCCAGGGCTTCCATATACTGAGATTAGAGCAGATGAAGCAACGTATCACATGACCACATGGGGCAATTGAGAGAAGCTGTCCTTGTCCTGCTGGATTATGTGCCATAGAACAGAGCCGGAAACTGGCTCCATGCCAGAAACACGGAAATTAAGCAAAGTATGGCACATTATGAGTAATTCTAAAAAAAAAAAAAAAGATACTTAGAAACATGAGGAAATATTTATGATGTAATGATGCCAAGTGGCAAAAGGAGGTTATGGCTTCATTGGTACACCCACAGCTGCTGTTAAAAAAAGCAAAAATAATTTCAGCTTGTGACTGGTAATAAAAAGCAACATTCAGTTTTAGAGAGTATATGTGACTGTGTGTTTTGGTGGGGGGGGCTGCAGAGCAAGAACGGTGAGTGTTCTTTTTAAAATTCCTTACTATCCTGTTGTCTTCTTACCAAAAATGACACAATGGGTAAAATAATTAATCCATTGTCAAGACTGACCAAAAAAAACCAAGCTCATGAAGTGATATTAGCTGCCTTTTTGGGTGGAAAGGCGTCATAACGCAGTAGTTCCAAGATTGGGGTTTTACAAAATCTAGTTTGAATCCTGGGCTCGTACCTTCTTGAACTGGTGCCAAAAATCTCAAGGTTATTATTATTATTATTATTGCAAGTTGGGAGCAATGACAGTTCCCTCCCGATGGGGTTCTCGGAAGAGTCCTGTGGGCTTTCACGCATACAGAGCACTGAGCAGGGTTCCTCGCGTCCCGTGAGCCCAGGTGCGTCCTGCGAGCGCAGATCGGGTTTGTGTGGCGTCTGCTAACTTGCCGGTCGTCCTGCAGATGACTCTGAAGGAGTTCGCCATGATGAACGAGGACCAAGACGATGAAGAGTTTCTCCAGCAGTACCGGAAGCAGAGGATGGAGGAGATGCGGCAGCAGCTTCACAGAGGGCCCCAGTTCAAGCAGGTTTTTGAGATCCCCAGCGGAGAAGGGTTTTTAGACATGATTGATAAAGAACAGAAAAGCACCCTCATCATGGTCCATATTTATGAGGACGGCATTCCTGGGACCGAAGCCATGAACGGCTGCATGATTTGCCTTGCTGCTGAGTACCCAGCTGTCAAATTCTGCCGGGTGAAGAGCTCGGTGATTGGGGCCAGCAGTCGCTTCACCAGGAACGCCCTTCCTGCCCTGCTGATCTACAAGGGAGGTGAATTGATCGGCAATTTTGTTCGTGTCACTGACCAGCTGGGGGAAGATTTCTTTGCTGTGGACCTTGAAGCTTTTCTACAGGAATTTGGATTGCTCCCCGAAAAGGAAGTCTTGGTGCTGACGTCTGTGCGTAACTCTGCCACCTGTCACAGTGAGGATAGCGATTTGGAAATAGATTGAACTGCTAGTCTAATTGCATAGATTTCTCATTGTTTTGGCTGGAAGACACATGGCTGTGTGTTTATTTTTGTTCCTTCCTGTGTTGTGTGGCATCTCAGCTGTTCTTTGTAGTCCCTTTTATTATACGTAAAGTCAAGAAATTCTTAGATTAAATTGGAATGCTGAATCACCTTGTGGCTAGCAGCAGTGACTTAAAATTGTGTAAACAGGAAGCCAGGCTTTTCAACTGTTTACCTAAGATTCTTCAGCATGACATCTCTGTTACTGTTTCTAGTCAATATTTACATAACGTCCTAAAGACAGTGTCCTAGAAATTGTCTTCAGATGGTCTCAGAGGTCTCTGCCAGGCCTGGGAATATAATTCTATAGTTAGTGTGTTCTTTGCAACATAAACAGTGTGTCTCTTTCATCAATGATCATAAATTATATTTACTTGTAATCAGATCCATAGTCCTGGAAGGCAGTTACATTTTTACCCTAGACCCTCTTCTCTACCAGGGTCTTGTTTAAAGCTTCCCGACAATGGTTGTTGGCCCCATCAAGAGGGGTGACCTCTGCTGTTGGAGCCAGTGTCCCGCTCAAGCATTATTAAGTCTTGAATAGGAGGAAAGATTGATGCTGACTGCCCTCTTGATGCTGAAGGCCAGCTTAATTTAGAAATCAGAGCTGGTTTGGAGCTGGGAAGCCTTTTGAAAGGAGGATCTCTTAAGATAACTCCTGGTCATTTCTTTGTCTTTCTCTTACTTAACAATGTAAGTTTTTGTTTTAATGTAGCTTTTTAAAAAGCTTTTTTTTTCTTTTTTTTGGATACTGGAAAAATAATATTTAACAGAGGAACATTTGCCAAAATACAGAAGTGAAAATAAGAAAGTTAGAATAATATCTAATTCTACCGCCTATCTACTGCCTAGGGTAAAACACTATTAACATTTTGGCATATTTCCTTCCATTGTATTTTCTTTGTATATGTAGACGTTTTGGTTGTGTTTAAACAAAACAATGGGATCATTCTGAGCATACTGTTTTATAGTATGGTCAGCTAATATAGATCAAACTTTTTTTCATGTCATTAAATAATCTACAACATTTAAAAAATGGCCATTGATATTCCACTGTGTAGATGGCGCTGTAATTTGCTCGGTGGTTGTCTCTTAAAAAGAAAAACAGCAAAGACTTTTTACTACGGAAGTAATAGATGTCCATTGTAGAAAATGTAATAAAAATTATTGTTAAAAAGTGATTTTAAAAGTCCTGTAATTCTGCCAATCAAAAATTATCCGCTTTATCATTTTTATAGGTAGCCTTCTAGTCTTTTCTATTCATATTCATATTTATAATAATGATTGTCATTTGAATGCTTTTCACTTGTTTTTTCTTAAAACGGTGTACATTCTAAGGTCGGGGAGATGTAATCTGGAATTAAAAGATTAACTTTAAAATTCATTTTTGCTTTTCCTGGTTATTCAAGAGTGGACTAAATGTAGAAGGATCTTGAAAATATCCGTCACGCTTTATCAGTAGGAGGAAAGTGTATGGTTTATCTGCTTTAAAAAGATCACCGTAGAAAGCGTGGAAAAAGCAGAGACAACTGTTGTCAATGTTCTTGTTTATTTCCCTCAGTCTTTTTTTTTAGTGTTTTAATAACATTGAGAACTTATTAGATTTAATTTTGTGTTCTACTTTATTTAATATTATATCATAATTACTTCAATATGTTATAAAAATTCTAAATAAATAATTTTTCATGGCTTCATAATACTCCATCATATCGATATACCATGATTTATTTAACCAGTTCCTTAATATTGGGTATTTAATTTTTTTTTTTTTTTGAGAGCACACATGCATGAGTGGTGGGAGAGGGGGAGAGGGAGAGAGAGAATCTTAAGCAGGCTCCACGCCCAGCGCAGAGCCTGATGTGGGCCCGATCTCATGACCCTGAGATCATGACCTGAGCTGAAACCAAGAGTCAGATGCTTAACTGCCTGAGCCACCCAGGCGCCCCAATATTGGGTATTTAGATTCCAGTTTTTCATTAAAACACTTAGCATCTTTGCATTTGGGGCTGAAATGTTGGATTGTTCTCTTGTATAGATTTCTAGAAGAGGAATTCTTGGTGGGCAGGCAAGAACATTTACAAAAAAATTTTTTTAAAGATTTATTTATTTGAGAGAGAGAGACTGCCTGAGCAGGGGAAGGGGCAGAGGGAGAGAGAGAGAATCCCAAGCAGACTCTGCAGAGCATGGAGCCTAACTTGGGGCCCGATCTCATGACTCTGAGATCACAACCCGAGCCGAAACCAAGAGCCGGATGCCCAATGGACTGAGCCACCTAGGTGGCCCGCAAAATAGTTTTTAGAAACCATCTTCTGTTCCTTTTGGAAATGAAAATACCACTTGTAGAACCTTTACTTTGCCTTTCAAGAACAGAGATTCTAGAATAAAATACACAGACATGGAATGGGGAAGTCCTCAAGTACTAAATCTCTTACTCAGATATAGAAGAAACAGTACAGGCTCAGGAGTCAAGAAAGATCTGCGTTGGAATCCTGTCACTGCTGTAGCGCCTCGTGAGGACCTCGGCATCTTGAGGCTCTGTTTCCTCACCCCTGCAATGGGAACACTGTGCTTCACCTCTTCCGGGATAGCAGTTCTCAACGCGTGTTCCCGCAGCAGAGGAGTCAGCCTCACTGGGGAACTTGATCAAAATGCAGATTCTCCACCTCCACCCTGATGCGCGGACTGCATCAGAAATGCTGGGAGTGGCCCAGCACACTCTACAAGTCCTCCAGGTGACTCTGAGGCTCATGCAGGTGTGAGAATCACTGACGTACGGATTGAGGTGAATGACAGCAGTAATCACAAAACAGCTTATTTGAGTAAGGGAGGAAAGGATTTGAAACAAAACGCTCAGTTTTTCTTTTCCTCTTTATGTGGTTCTCCTTTTTAGCCATGGAAAGGAGAAAAGGAAAGAAACATCTATTTGTCTGTCATAAGCTGTGTCCCTGTAGTATCCAGATTGCACTTTCTTCCAAAACGAGAGTCCCGGGAAGGCACAGGCTTTGTTTTCCTTCCAGTGTGTGGCATAATCACTCTTCACTCCAGGAATAATAGGCTAACATTTACTGGCTTTGTGGGCAAGATGCTGAACCCCTCTGTGCCTCAGTGTCTTCATCTGTGAAATGGGGATGAGTAACATGAGTCCTTTCATATCAAATATTTCGAACATAGCCTTCAAATAAGTTTTTATCATCCCCAGTGCCCATTACTGTGCCTGACTCTTGCTAAGGATCAATAAACATTTAATAATGTTGGCTAACTGAACATAATTAAAAATAAATAAATAGGGCGCCTTGGTGGCTCAGTGTAACGGTTAGGCCTCTGCCTTCGGCTCGGGTCATGATCTCAGGGTCCTGGGATCGAGGCCTGCATCGGGCTCTCTGCTCAGTGGCGAGCCTGCTTCCCCCTCTTCCTCTGCCTGCCTCTCTGCCTACTTGTGATTTCTCTCTCTGTCAAATGAATAAATAAATAAAATCCTTAAACAAAAATAAATAAATAAATAAATAAAATAAGAAAATAAAGGACATATTATATTGGCCCACTGAATACCAACAGCCTTTCAAGGTAAGAAATAAACAGTAACTTTTCGGACATGAAGAAGCCAAGACTTAGCAGGATTAAGTGACCATTCCAGCTTGTGGGCGGGGCAGGGTATAAAACCTGGTCTGTGTATTTCCAGAATTTATACCATTTCCACAATGTCGTGTTAGTTCTGCATGGAGGAAGCAGATGATCAAGGGACAATAAAACAGATCAATTTAAAAAAGAAAAAGTGGGGGCACCTGGGTGGCTCAGTCAGTTAAGTGTCCGACTCTCGATTTCAGCTCAGGTCATGATCTTGGGTTGGTGGGGTCCAGCCCAGAGTTCGGCTCCCTGCTCAGCAGGCGTCCGCTTGAGGATTCTCTCTCTCCCTCTGCCCCTTACCCTGCGCCTCCATGCAAACTCGTTCTCTCAAAGTAAATACATAAATTAAAAAAAAAATAATAAAAAAGAAAAAGTGGAGAGAACAGGTTGGAGGAAGAAAATTAGGGAGAAAATTTTAAGAGAACAAGGAGTTAAGCTGGGTGGAGCCCAGGTCTCTGGTCCTGCCTGTGTTTCATGTCAGAACCCCTGCCCATCCGGGCTGTGGCTGTGACCTGCTGGGGGTCCCCCTTCCCTGCCAGGATGCCACAAAGTCCTTCCCCCCCAAGTCTACCCAGAACCATACTGCCACTGCCTGTCCACTGTTGGTGGCAGTGATCCAGAGAATAGTGAACTTCGTGAACTCTAGCTCTCTCTTGGCAGCCAGCTCTGTTCCCCAGACAAACCTCTTCCTCTCCCCAGACCTTAGCTTCCCCATTTGTAAAATAAAAGCTAAATTATATGCTCTTTTAAGACCCGTCGGGCTCTCAAGTTTTATGAATTCATGCATTTTGGAAAATCACCTCATATTTTGAAAACTTTGAAAACTACAGGAAAATGAAAAGAATATTACAGTTAATACCTGTATAGCCTTCATTTCATTTTACCCCTAACATTTGCTACACTTGCTGTATCTCTGTTTCTTTTTGTGGAACCTTGTTAAGTCTTTCCTGTCTCTTTAGGAATAAGCAGTCACACCGTTGCCCGTACTTCTAGGGGTTATGACAACATTGATTAAGAAAAGTTTTGAGGGAGGCCCCTGGGGTGGCTTAGTCGGTTAAGCATCCAACTTGTGATATTGGCTCAGGTCATGATCTCAGGATACTGAGATAGAGTCCCATGTAGGGGAATCAGCTCGAGATTTTCTCCCTCTGCCCCACCCCCAACTCATGCACTTTTCTTCTCTAAAATAAATAAATAAATCTTAAAAAAAAAAAAGTTAGGAGGGCTCAATGCCTGACTCCAGCAAAAACTGGCCATGGCTTTGCTTTCCCACCTAAGTGGGATAACAGTAGCTTGCTTGACAGGCCCATGAATTAATGCCAGTAAAGTAATTAGCACTTTGCTTAACACAAAGGAATGTCCCAGTAGGTCATCTACTGTTGTTTTCATGCTATCATTTTGTATTTCTTTAGTTCAGTGAAAAATGTAGGTTTTTTCCTAAGTGTGGCTTGAATGACCTTTTCTCCCTTTCCTGTAGAGTAACCCCTTCTTCAGTGTTTGTGGTTGCCCCAGTTGAATTGTAAGTATTTGTTTACACAAAATACGATGAAGTATTTGGGGACAGGGACTGTCTTCCTGTCATTTCCGGTTTCTGATTAGAGTTGATGGAAGCTCACGTTGGCTGCTTAAGTGGGGAAGGAAAATCGCCAAGGCTGAAGTAGGCTGAAATTCACATTAGGGTAGAAGGCTCTCTGCTATGTTGCTTTTCCAGAAATGTTACATGTTTTTGATCAGAGGTGAACTACCTATGCTCCCTGAACCAGGTTACAAATTCCAGCGAAACCCTCCACCCGGCCAAAGCAAGAGGAAATGCCAGTTGTAACTTGGTTTTGGCCACATGGTGGCAGCAGAGGCGAGGGAAAGAATAGTTTCGTTGCTGTTGGTAAACCCAGCCACAGACTTCCCATTTCGGGGCTGAAGGAGATGCTTACTACCATGCACTAGTCATTTTAGAGAATTTGTTTTTCGGAAAGAGAACCAGAAAGTATTACATACACACACTTTATTAGTGAGTAACAAAGCAAAAAAAAAAATATTAGTTGATGAATACAACATGCGTGCACTTAACTTCCGTATTATGGTCCGTTAAG